GTTGTGACAGCTAATCAGGCAGATTGGACGGCGGCTCTGATCGATGTTAAATGAGTGACTCGCACTTGGGCAGGCGGGGGACTCACACCTGTTGAGGCGCCACGCGCAGCGCTAGAGGGGGTACTTTAGGTCTCGCACTGAAGCGCTGACACTGTGTCGGTAACGACAGCTTGACCTTGCGCTGCGTCGCTGCGACGTTTAAGCTATGCAGTGCCGAGGTGTCGTCCCATGCCGTTCTGTCACGTGACTCGACACGTCGTGTCGAATCACGTGACGTGATTCGACACGTCGTGTCACGGTGCCACAAGCGTGCTCTCGCAGTTGTTCCGCGTCCCGTGAGTTAGTGCGACGTGGAATGGTTGCGACAGGTGGGCTCGTTGCAATGCCTGGCGATTGTCCGCAATGCGCTCGATGAGGTCAAATTAAGATCAGTGGAATTTCATAAGCACAAGTTTAGCTGATGGCAGAAGTACGTTACTCAAAGATGGGCATGCAGCTCAAAGAGTGAGGCCGTAGGCTTTCATTTTTTCACCACAGATAGTTCCTGACAGAAGGTTAAAATGCGGCGTGGTGCGTTTGCACCAAGGTCCCTCCACACTCCTTAAGAGCATTATGGTCGCGCCCTTGCTTAAAAAGGACTAGGGCTGTCAATGGTTGAGTGGAACAGGACTCGGTGACGGACGCACGCAGCCGCGTTCATTGCCCATTCATCTTAGCACGCCTCTCAGCGGAGTCAACAACTCTTGAGCCCTCCTTCTCTCCCGCCTGTGCCCTCCCTGAAAAATCACGTGGAACCCTGCGGTCCCTCGCACCCACCCGGCGCTCTCCCACTATGTCACGTTCCAGCGTCTCTCTCCGTGAGAGAGGGGCCTACGGCGGCCACGTTTCTCGCGGTCAGGGAGCTCGCGCGCCGCCGCCGCCGCCGCGCCGGTTTCGACGGCGGACGCTGCGGTCTCAGCTTGCGGTGCGTGGAGCGGACCGCGCGGCCTACGCGGCGTGCTGGTCGGCGCCTCTGAGATCGACTGATGAGAACGGGTCGCTGGGAAAGCGCCTCACGTCCTCGGTCGGTGTCCACTGCGGCCCGGGTCTCCCACACGTCAGGCCAGGCCGCCGGGGGCGATAGAGAAGTGAAGAGCGGAAGCTGGGAGTGCGGAGATGCGGCGGAACGGGGAATGATATAAGAAGCGACGCAATGAATACAAAGAGCAACGGCGTCGAAGCAATGCATGAAACACGCAGGGAAACTTGCATCACACACGAGCGTATCAAAGTCCGTCTAGGCTCGCGCATTTCACTGACGATGCCAACCTGCAAGTGTGTCCCAGCGTGTCATTCGCGTACCAAACGGCACATTAACTCGCTTCATGCGAACCTCTTTTAACGCATCACCCTCGTCATGGAGCTGTCACTGGCGGTCCCACCAGCTCGTCACGGCTCCCCCATTCCCATGGCTGCATGACGCCATAACGCGTATGCAAGACCGTTATGTTGCAAAGTGCTCAAGTGATAAGCCACTCGCAATTATGTGTGGTTGAAAACAACGGTAGGTGCCGGGATTTATCGGGTCGCCAGTGTGGCAACGTCAAGTCGAGGATTAACGGGCCGGGGCTGGGTAGAGTCATTGCTTTGCACGTGGTATTTTTGATGTAAAAGAAAGCCAGAGGAACTTGTATGCGCTGGATGCCGATGCCCAAGCGCCTTAAACCGTTTGCGACAAGTGAAGGGCCGACGGATGGCACGAGATGTGCTGTGTTCATAGCATGCATTGGGAATGTCGCAACCTATGACCAATCTCTTCGCTGTGAGCCGGAGCTGTCCTCATATATTTTGCTTTCATCAACACGGTCACTCACGCTTCGGCCCGAAAGGCTCGGATTTTAGTGCTGGTAATTATTCCTGTTGCGTGGCATTGCTAATGTTTTGTTAGGTTGTACAACCCTCAGCCTTACGAAATACTGATAATACGCACCAATGTTAATTTACGGTGTGGCTCCGTGGCCCCTAGCTACTTCGCTCTCGTCATCCGTATTAAAAGGCATGAGAATGCACCGTGCGAAAGATGCACATCGAAAATGTCGGCCACAGTAGCAAACCCGTCTATGTGCGTCGCTTGCTTGTCGGAAAATGTGCTTGTAAGCTGGGATAGGGTTAAAGTGCACTCGTATGCACCGACTTTCACAGAGACGCTTTCTACAGCAGGAAAAAAATGAGCAGGTCCCTTCTTTGATCCTGGAGTCTATCACGTTTCGAACCGGCTTATTTTGTTTTAGCGCTTCTCTGAACAGTCTGAGCAGACACGCTGCATGTATAGTTCTGGTGAGATGAACGAGACTGAAGTCATAACTAGAGCATGAGAAACCAGCTCTAATCTCGCATCAGCTCTTGCCTAACAAAATCTCAAAACAGCCAAGGTAACAATCAAGGAGGCTCTCGTATCGGCTCTCGTATCGGCTCCCGTGTCGGCTCCCGCTTCGACTCCCGTTTCGGCTGCCGTTTCGGCTCCCGTGTCGGCTTCTACGTTGGATCTCTTGTCGGCTTCCGCGGCGACTTCCGTGTCGGCTTCCGTGTCGTCTTCCGTGTCCGCTTCTGTCTCCGCCCGTGTGTCATCTCCCTTGTCTGCTCCAGTATCGACGTCCGTGTCCGCTTCTGTGACCGCTTCTCTGTCCGACCCTGTGTCAGCTCCCTTGTCTGCTCCAGTGTCTGCTCCCGTGGCCGCTTCTGCTTCCGCCCCTGTGTCGGCTCCCGTGACGGCCCCGAGTCCGCTCCCGTGGCCGCTACTGTGTCGGCTCCCGTGTTCGCGTCCGGAGATGACGTATAAGTGTACGTCCGGCCGCCGCCGGCCGCCTGACGAACGGTTCTCTGGCCGCCACGGCCGCCGCACTCGTTCGGGGCCGCGGTGATGACAGTCATGCGGTTCTGGCGGTGAGGTCCAGCTGTGGACAGCAGACGTTTGGTGTTGGTGGTGAGGTCCAGCTGTGGACAGCAGACGTTTAGTGTTGGTGGTGAGGTCCAGCTGTGGACGGCAGACGTTTAGTGTTGGTGGCGCGGTCCGGCTTTAGACAGCAGATGTGTAGTGTTGGTGGTGAGTCCAGCTGTGGACAGCAGATGTGCAGTGTTGGTGGTGAGGTCCAGCTGTGGACAGCAGACGTTTGTTGTTGGTGGCGAGGTCCAGCTGTGGACGGCAGGCGTTTAGTGTTGGTGGCGCGGTCCAGCTTTAGACAGCAGATGTGTAGTGTTGGTGGTGAGTCCTGCTGTGGACAGCAGATGTGCAGTGTTGGTGGTGAGGTCCAGCTGTGGACAGCAGACGTTTAGTGTAGGTGGTGAGGTCCAGCTGTGGACGACAGACGTTTAGTGTTATTGGTGAGGTCTGGCTGTGGACAGCAGATGTGTAGTATTGGTGGTGAGGTCCAGCTGTGGACAACACACGTTTAGTGTTGGTGGTGAGGTCCAGCTGTGGACAGCAAACGTTAAGTGTTGGTGTCCATGTCTGGATGTAGACGGCTAATATTTTGTGGTGGTGGTGAGATCCGGACGTGGACAGCAGTATATTGATGGGAGGTTCAGGCGCGGACCGGAATTCGTCGGATTCAGTGTTCGGGTGAAACCTAAACGTTATTGTAGAGAAACTGTCAAATGAGCCCAACGCCTGTACGGTTGTTGCAACCACACCTGATCGTAACTCACCGAAGCTGACATTTTACGGCTGCGACCTTTGAAGGTCATCACAAGTTATTCGCTGGGCTAGTCCCAGTCTTCTGCCCACCATCCCGTCGCCATGGGAGCCCCGGTGTGGGCGGCGGTGGGTGGGGACTAGTTCCACGCTATCCAGCTTAATTTGGCGAGTCTCCTGTACTGCCCTCGCCTTGGATGACCCGGTGCCGAACTGGTGACACCATTACCAGCGCCCAGAGTTGTCCGGGGTGCGATGCGGGCACCGATGTACTGCTGACATTTCCCGGAGTCGTGCCCAGAGGGCAGGTTGGCCTTCCCGCCGAGCTGTTCCGGCCGCGCGGGATGATCAGGAATTCGTCTGCCGTTGGTCCCTCACCTGTCACGGCCGTACATGACGGCGGTGCCTTCAGCTGTCGCGGCCAGAAAGGTCTGACTGCGTATAACGCGCTCAGCGGTTCAAGTGTTTGCCACAATCTGATCGAATCCGCTCTGTACTCGACACTCGACTGCTTTGGGCGAGACTTCCCCGATGGGCGCCGTGCGGCGGCCCTCGCCAGCACCCGACACCGCAGATAATCAGCAGGCGTCCTCTCTTACGTTACGTTACGGTACGTTACGCGCTCACCGCCGGCTCCGCGGCGGCCCCGGCGCCGGGAGCGTGACGCGCACGGGTGATGGTAGGAGTGAGAGGGGACTGCACGGGTGCGTTATGGTTCACGTCACGTGCGTCCGTTTGCTTCAGAAACAAGCAAATCCGGTCGCGCGGTCATCGGACATCGGTCGAGTCGTTTGCGCCACGGTGCCCTGGAAGCGGTGCCTGCCCGTTGTCGGTAGATGTGGCGCGTACCCTCGAACCCGTGTTCGCGTTGATCCCCGTGTCATGACATTGCTGTTTTTCCTGTTCTTCGATCGTGACGTATTTTTCCTGTTCTCCGATCGTGACGCTTCCTGTACACTGGCAGTGGTGTTTGTCCGCGTACCCTGCAATTATTTACGTTCCATTTCATGTGCGAGCCCTCTTCACCGTGGTGTTGTTATGATCACTTGCCCTGACTTCCCTGACAGCTGAACACATCCTCGCGCCTCGGCAGCCGTGCCTGTCCCTGTCTCTTTCCCTTGCCGCGACGTCTGCCCCTGTGAAATGTTCCCCAAAATCTCTGCGTTTGGCCTGTCTGCTCCGTGTGCGGCGCCGTTTCTCTCCGGCCGCCTCTGTCTCCTCTCCGAGGTGTGCGTCACGGCACCCCGGCGGTGGCGTCCGTCCGGTACCCCCTCACCGGTGCTCGCGCGCTCCCGCCCGCTGACGGCGGCGTGCCCTCGTGTCTCCGCAGCAGCGGTCCAGCCTGACGGACCGCGAGCGCGGCCTGGTGCGGCGCGCCTCCCAGCTGGGCTCGCAAGTCAGCCAGCTGCAGGTGCGCTGCCGCAACCTCAAGCTCGACAACAACGAACTGGTGAGCGGCACACGTGGGCGGGCGAGTTGGCGCTCTGCAGTCTCACTCAGCGTGCTCAAACATGCCAGACATACACGACAGCGGCCCTGTGGTGGCGGATGAAAATAAATGAATCGAGGTGCACGGGCGCCCGGAGTGTTCCGAGATGTGCCCGCGGCTACGCCCCTACGTCCCCACGCCGGGACGTCTGGGGCGGCGGGAGGCGGCCAGGGGCGGCCCCTGTGGCGAGCACGTGTGGATCTCACTGGTGCCGGGGCGAGCTCGCGCTGCTGGGGCCGGACCTCGGAGCCCCAGGCGGACGCTGTGACGCCGGCAGGCAACGCGGCGCCACTGTCAGCACAGCGGCCGTTCGGGTCGATGGCTGACAGCGGCCGCCGGGTGATCCTCATCAGCCGCCGGCTGTTTGTGGAAGGGGCTGTTGACAAGAGCTCATGTCGCGCGTTGTGATTAGGCTGACTGGATCAGTCGCCTGAGGCTGCAGTCTGGGCTCGCCGCAGTCTGCGGATGTTCATGTGTGACTGAGGCGCTGTTGGGGCGTTGCAATGTCAAAGGCTCCCACGCCCATTTGCTTCACATGGTGAAGCAATAGCCAGGCATGAGTTCGTGCAAAATTTCCCGACGCCATTTTAGCTTGTGAGAAAATACGCCAATCTGTGGTCGTCACAGGGGTCTCCGGGCTATAATAATTTCAGGTTACGTAAATCCCTGCTGGAAGCATACCACCGCCAGCTACGCACCAAGCCAACCAGAGCGGTTGGAGCGGGTGTGTGCATGATTCTGCAGGGCTCGGGCCGGGTCTGAATCTTAGTAGCACGGTATCCCCCATGTTTATTACCGTGGTAGTCGCTGGCATTCCTTAGAGGGGTTTGCGATGACGCGTATTGCTGGACCATCAGCGACAACGGTCGCTACATGAACGCTCGGGAGCCATGGCGCAGCTGGAGTTCGGGCCCGGCTTTTCGCGTGAGGGGGCTGCTTCCAACCACTGTTCGGTGTTGGATGCCATCAGGCCTTACGTAACGCTATTGTCACGTCGGCTGATATAGTTCAAACCTGGAATACTGATGTGGAGTTATTGCTGTTAGTACGTGTAACATTTAGTTGTTTTTAGGCGTATGTATGCATTATATATATATATATATATATATATATATATATATATATATATATATATATATATATATATATATATACACGTGTATTTGAGTGTGCGTGTGTGTGTTGTGTGCGCACGTACCATGTATATTTACATTATATACTTGCATTTGCAACGTATTTCATACTTGTTGGTGATCGCTGATATTGTCATGCAGTTATCTCGTCTGATTACCAGCTCCCCCAGCCCATCGTCGGTCCGCTGGCTAACTTAGTTCGTTCAGACGGCCTTTCAGCCCACGTGTGGACTCGTGTTTGTTTGGACGTGACCTCGTGACCGCTGCCGTGTTGTCAGCCGACGGGGGGGGGGGGGGGGCGCTGACCGCTGCCGTGTTGTTAACCAACTAATGCCCCGCTTGGTACGCAGAGAACCGCTATCGACACGGAGCTGGACGTGCCTCTGGCGGTCAGAACAAAGGCGGCAGAGACCAAGCGCGAGGCGCAGCTTCTAAAGAAGAAAAATCAGGAACTGCTTAGCATGACGCGCAAGCTGGAAGAGAAGGTCAAGAAGCTGGAAACGGTGAGGTAGCACGATTTCATAACACGCACTCGGGTGAGGATGGTCCATTTGACCCACCGAGGCTTTTTACAAAAAAAGTTTCTTGCGTGGCTGTAGGTAAATGAATGACGGATCTTGTATAAACACAAATTAGATGCACCTGGTAAGGTCCCTGACCTATGGCAGACTAAAGTCACACCGTGTCTGTCAGCGAAGGAAATATGTAGGGAGTTTTTAAATCTAATGCGACAATTGTGTGCTGGACGAAGCCACACGTCTGGTATGGCGTCTTAGGCATTAAAGCAATTGCATTCAGGATTACAACATATGTAATTGATCTAGGGTCAGGTATAGAGGTCAGACCGAGGTCAAAACCAAGCTGCTTCTTTACTGGAGAGCTTGCTTTAGGGGCTAGTTGCAGAGCCTCGTTCTCAATTTCGCGATAACTGGGACGGCAACGGGCATGCTCTGTATTCTTCTTAAGGTCATTGTGGATCGATGACCGAAAATTACGTAGACAAAACCGTTACTTTTTAGGGACGTAACGACTAGCATAATCCTTGACGCTTATTCAACTTTAAAAAATCCAAACAATGTGGTACGTTTTCAGCCACCAATACCTTCTTAAGGTCAAACAAGGCCACTGACATAAAATCAACACCAGTGACCTTTTGCTTAGAACAGGTATCTAGTTGCAAGACGGTTGGATGAGGCGGTGTGGGACACTTTGGACACCGATCTTTAGCTTGACCACCCTGTTCGACCCGAAGGTCGTGGTCTATAGACCTCAAATTTTGAAACAAGTTCACAAACAGAACATCCCACCCTGATATCTGATTGATTGCATTGATTGCCGAGATTGCACACTCTTAGTGTGTGCAATCTCGGCGGGTCAAACCGGCCCCCACCCGAGCAAAGGGTGTTCAACCGACCAACCGGCCGCGTGTTAAGCGCGATATGAAGAGGTGCAATATTTACCTGGCAGGTGTTGGTTAGGCCGGAAGGCATGCTAATGCAGGTGGGCGTGGTTCATATCAGAGGCAGTTATATAAGGTGTGGGTGAATCACGGAAACAACTTTAAAAGTTGGTTAAGCAAACATCTGCTTTAATTAAACCTTTCGGGAACTCACCACTTTAAAACTGCAACGTACAGCACATTTTGAATCCATCCTGACGTCAGGCAAAGTGGTCCTTGTAGTTATCTCATTCACACTTCAGTAACTATTAAGCGCTGTTCAGTAACGATTAACACATAAACGACGCATCAAAACCTGCTTGACAGAGGTCTGGAAACCCCCAAATCGGCACACATAAAACTCCACCCTCGAATGACTCGAGCGGAGGTGGCTGACTCTGTCTGTGCTCTGGCCAGGGTTCTCAGGAGGCGCGACCCGCCGAAAAACCGCGGATCCGGCCGCTCCGCCAGATGCCGCAGTCCCGCGCCTGTACCCCTGGAGCAACAGCAGAAAACAGCGGGTGCGCGGGAGTCGACCAGCGGTGCGCAGCAGAAGACAGTGGGTGCGAAACAGAAAACTGTCGGCGAACAGCAGAAACCCGTTTCTGCACGTCAGACAACAGTGGGTGCACCACAAAGGGCAGTGTGTTCGGATCGGAGAGCAGTGAGTTCCGATCAGAAAACAGTGGGCTCGCGACAGAGAACGGTGGGCGTGGACCAAGCGACAGTGAGCGCGAGCCAGAGGACAGTGACCGCCAGACAGCAGACGCCCACTGCGCAGAAAACTTCCAGCGGCCAGAGCCGCCTGGCGTCCAGGCCGACGCCGCAGCGGACACGGGAGGCGCCCAGTGAGCTGATGGCCCCTCAGCAGGGGGCGAGCGAGGGGGCGGGCGGTGAGGTGCCGGTGGCTGCGCCGCTACAGAGGGACACGCTGACCTCCAGGCAGCGTGAGCGCGAGTCGGAGCTGCAGTGTCAGATCAAGGAGCGCAACGCCGAGATCCGCCGGCTAAAGGAGCAGATGAAGGAGACCAGCGACAGACTGTCCAGCAGGAATGAGATCCAGGTGCGTGAAGGGGCCGTGGCGGGCTGGATTTGAGGGTGCGGTGGTGCGGCGTGGCGTGGGGTGCGGCGTGTGGGGAGCTGGATTTGGTCAGGCTCTTTGTTTTAGGCGGTCACGCTGAGCAACAGTCAGGATTGCGGTGCTGCAGCAATGGAGAATGCATTCAGCGCTGATGTAGGTTCTCGGAGTTAGGCGGTGTCGCGATTGGCAAGAACGCACGTTTTTCGGAGTGGAAGAGAAACCAAATTTAAAGGGTGGCGTGCCTAGCATTGTGTTCTAGCGTGATGTAGCCCGTGATGTAACCCTGCGGTGCTTTGGCTCGATTACAGACGTTAAAGGAAAAGGGGAAGAGGGAGCTTGCCACAGTCATCCAACAGCTTCGCAAGCAGAAGTCAGATATGGAGAAAGAACTGAGCGCTACTATTGAGGTGAGTTCTCCGTTGCTGACGTTCTTCACTGATTAGCATCCCCCACTTCATTCCCCCCCCCCCCTCCGCACACGTGGTGATATGGCAGTGCTGAGTATATCGTCTCAGCGTCTGCCAGCGATGCCTCTATTCCTGGAAACTGGAAGTGAGTGCAAGTGCTCGCAACGAAAAACTGACGGCCCTTTATATAATTGTTAGTTAATTGATATCCACGGGACAGCACAAACCGCACGTGTTTGCGACAAATGCTCTCAATGAATCGGGGATACTCTCCACGACCGGCAACGGGAGGCGTCGTACCTCCCCCCCCCCCCCCCGATCATATTGCGGAGAATTCCCAGGGTCTGCCGCCTCCCCCTTCTTCCACCGCTACTGGCGCCACTGCCGGGTCAGCGGCGCCGCCCGGCTCACCCCCGGGTCCACCGCCTGCCCCGTCTTCCACCGCTGCTGGCGCCACTCCCGGGTCGGCAGCGCCGCCCGGCTCTCGCGCCTGAAGCTGCGTGCGCCGGCAGTGCCGCGCGCGCGTCAGCATGACACGCCGTGGGCGGCGACCTTTCTGCGGCTCCGCTGGCGCCCCCGGATCCATCTCTTCGACGATGGAACGGCGACGCGGACAGGCGGCCGGGAGACGGCCGGGGACCGGTCCCGCGGCGCGCTGTCGTCTGTGCGGAGAGTGTGTTGCGTTCTGGTGCGCGTTGTGTGGGCGTGCCGGTGTACTGGCGACGGTGTGGCCGGGGGGGGGGGGGGGGGGAGCAGAACTTTACCTCTTGTACTGATGACGGAGTGCGTACATTTGTAGTGGTCGGGATGTAATTTGTAACTGTCAAGGGTCTATTCATAATTATGGGAAGTTCGCTTTGGGCTCTTAGGGACTGAGAACAATAAGGTAAAATCGTGTCTAGTAGTAAGCATAAAACGTTTGTAGTCAGTTTATTTTGCGGACACAGCTGGCATTATGGGACCTTAGTTGAACAGAAGTTAACAGTAAAAACATCGCGTCGCGATGGGTGGTCTCAGTAACTGCCAAGTAAGCCTTATTTTCATGTGGCATGAAAATCAGCAGCTCAGTTCGGAAAGTTTACAACTTGTCAATGACAATGTTTCAAACGCATGGTGGTCATCGCAGCGACACCTGTGCGAAAAATGGGCAGCGGCACCTATTCTTTGTAATGTGGTGCGGCGCCGTCGCACACTGCCTCCCAGAATGGCAAGTAACGTGGCTAAAAGCGAGCAGTCGTAAGAGTCGTATTGCTCGTATTCCTGATCCCATTTGCTTACGACAAACGTCCATTCCGTTATGTTATGCAAGTAACAAAACAAATGTGCAAGAGGCAATTCTGTTTATAAACGATTTCTTAATATGTACACGGGCCGAATGGTTTCTGGCAGCAAACCATGGTGAATCATATCAAAACGATATCGCCGGCGACAGTAATTTTTATATCATGTTGGCCTCATGTAACGTAATACCCTAGTTGTTGGTGGTGCCCAGGCTCAGGTCCATCAGTCCGTGGTATTCCCAGGGAAATCATGTTTTTTCTATAGATACGTCATCCACGTAAACCCAAAAAAGAGAGGGGGGGGGGGGGGTCAGTCGAAAAGCGAAGGACGGTCTGACCATCTCTGTTACCATTGCCGTTCGTCGGTCCTTTGGCTTGGACAATATTTGAGGGAGTTGCAAAAGGATAAACCCTTCATTTTTATATTCATTTAATATACTTTGACGGAGTTTTAGCAACATGACTTGAGAACCCAGCTCATTTTAGTCTTTTTCTGCCTGAAGTCCTCACTGAATTCGATGAGAATTCAATACTTAAAAGAACATCCAGGCCTTCCCTCTACCTGATGTTCCTCATGCCATCTTCAGACATGTTTTTTCCTCTGCCCGTCACTGTCAGCGTGGTCGACACCTGCCCCGACACCACCGGTGCCGTCATGTTTGAGCATGAGGCGCGCCAGTCGCATCCCATCAGTCCCACCGCTGTCCCGTGTCATTCCCACCAGCCACACCAGCATGCGCTGGTCACAGGCGGAGGCCTGACATCGGCGCCGACATCAGCAGTCCCACCAGCCATCAGCTGTGTCATGCACGCCACGGCATCAGTTACCATGTCGTCTCCGCGCCGGCTCCGCTCGTCCGGCCAGCCCCGAGGCCGCGCCGTACACGTCGGCCACCCCCACCTCGTCCAGCAGCGACCGGCGCCGGGGGTGGCGGCGGACGGGGCGCGGGGAGGGGCGGGGTCGCGCCGGCGCGTCGCCCACTGCCGGGTCGCACGCACCCCTATTGATTTTCGCTGCGCCCGGGCCGCCGCCGTCGGGCCGGGCGGCCGCAGTTGGCTCCGGCGGCGCTCCTGCTGAACGGAGCACGCTCCTCACTCGCCGCCGAGAGGAGACGGAGCCGCGCCGGAGCAGGTGAGAGCTGGGAGCCTCCGCTCCGGCGGCGCGCGCGGTTGCGCTGGGGACGCGGGCGAGCTTGAGGTCCTCAAAACTCACGATATGCGTGAGGACTTGGGTCGCCCGGTCCGACGAAAACCGAGGAGGGCATGTAAGAGTTCGAGATCCTCTGGTGCACTTGCAGAAAAGATGAACGAGGACTGGGTACAGCTTGAGCGGCGGCGAGCGTGGGCGGTAACCACAACTGGGGTCGGTGGGGTTCGGATCAAAATATTTTTTGGCAGATTGGACTACTTTTCTGTTATGACGGCATCAAATGGCACCCAGACAGGAAAAAAACCCCAGTGACATTTAAGGTGTAGTTACGACCTGGGCTGTGGAAGAGCCCAAAGGCTGAACAGTTTGGCTTCTAGATCCTCCGCTCTTTACGCAACTGAAGCAGCGTGGGACAAGGAGAACGATAGGGTCCTGTGCGCCTGCGGAGGACTGGGTCGTCGATGATAAGCGCCCAGACTGCTCAAACTTGTCGGCATCTGTAACCATGGCGCGGGCTATGGTTGCTCTTGAGCCAGATGTCTGAGCCTAGACGGGCCATAGCGTGAACGGTATAGGCTTGGAATATGTTGGTGTGGTTTTCTGGCTGTCCTGTTTGTGCTCTGACAATCTGGCGCGTAGGATGACCGGTCGGCTGGACGGACATCAGAGGCGACCGGTCGGTCGGGACACACATCAGAGGCCACCGGTCGGTCGGGACAGACATCAAAGGCCACCGGTCGGTCGGGACAGACATCAGAGGCCACCGGTCGGTCGGGACACACATCAGAGGCCACCGGTCGGTCGGGACAGACATCTGAGGCCACCGGTCGGTCGGGACAGACATCAGAGGCGACCGGTCGGTCGGGACAGACATCAGAGGCGACCGGTCGGTCGGGACAGACATCTGAGGCGACCGGTCGGTCGAGACAGATACTCAGGGCGACGTGCTGGCCTGTTGAGGCTGAGAAGATGGGGCCACTTGCATGAGGTCGTCTTCTTTGGCATTCTTTTCCTCAGTTGGCACGTTCGGTGACGGATGCGCCCTACTCGGTACATTTCCGCTGTGGTACAGGCGCTTGTATTTTTCAGGTGGTGTTTTTGCCCCCTCCCCGCCCCCAAAGAGGCTGATAGAGGCGCGCTGTGCGGCGCCACATTCGCTGGCGGCGGTGTTGGCTTAGATAACTTTCGTCAGGGTCTGAAGAGGATGTGTTTGGAAGCGTGCCGTAAGCTTCCTTGGTAAATGGAGAAGTGCATATGCTTCCCTAGTTACCAAACTCGTGTTTGAAAGCACGTCCAGTAGCTTTTCCTGTGGCGTGCATTTTTGCGAATAGCGTTCGTGAAAGATTATGGTGGCAGGTAGTATACAGCGCATGGTGGTAAGCTTGGTGTGTTTGTGGTAGTTGCTCAGGATTTTAGTGACTACCTATTGTAGGTATCTACAAGTTTATACATGAACATGCATGCGTCGAATTTTCCAATTAATCGAGATGTGGTTTTGGCACGCAATATCAACTGTTTTGTTTTTCTTACAATTGGCGTGTCACGTATGAACATGGGCTCCGCGGCAGAAGGTGTGGGGAGTAGGGGTAAGCTTGCCCAGTTCTTGTGGAATGTAGCATTACGCTTTCGGCGTTGCATGGCAATAAGCGCCTCGAAACACTGCGCCCCCCCCCCCCCCTACAACACCAACATTTGGCCGCCGGCGGAGTCCCTGGGCTGTTCCATGCATATGAAGGGAACGTCTCAAGTCCATTCGAAGGCTGTGGCGGCATCGTCATGTATGGAGCCGGTTTTCCAGCCGATTTGTACATTCGTCACGTGAGCCAGATCTTTGATGATCTTCCACCCATCTGTGTGTGTTCAGCCCGTCGGTGAGGGGATTCAGCGTGTGAACGTCGGTCAGTGCCTTGGTCGAGCACTGTCCGTTTTCGGCGATCGGTTGAACACCTTCATATGCGGCCTTTGATATGCCGGGATGCGGCTGGTACGCGGGATATCTGAGAGGCAGATCCGGAGCAGGAGCCGCACTGCGGCGCTTTGTACGAACATTTACAGGCACGTAAAATTGCGGTTGCTTGACAGCTCGAAAGAGGTCTGACTGAAAGTATGCACTGCTGATGTTGCAGCATTTTTAATTTATCGATTTGGCAAATGAAAATTTATGCTTTGCTCGTGATAAATGAGTTGAATGAAGCTTTTGTTATTGCTGGATATTACGCTTGATGTACCCAATACAGTCTCCTTTAGTCTCCTTTCCCTCCCTATGGCTCTGCTTGAGGAACATATAATTGTTCCAAAAAGTGGTAAGTCAAAAGACATTCGGAAACGATTTGATTTCCACGCATCACCACCGGCTTAACGCGACACTTCCGCGGCAGGTGAACGGGCCGCGTCCCACCCAGCGCCATCCCCATCTCTGCACCTGCGGTCTGCCACGCCCCCCTGTGTCGCTGCCCGTGTTGTCCTCCTTCCCGCGTCGGCAGCCCACCCGGCCCCTTCGTTCCGCCTCGGCCACGTCGTGGCTCGTTTCTCCCCGCTCTTCTCGGCGGCGGTCGCGTGCCGCGTGTCCT